AACATGTCTGGTGACTATCTTAGGGTCTCCTTCAAACACCTGCAAAGCATTTTGATTGGGGAGCTTCTGACCAATTTGGGGATCCTCAGGACATATCTCAAATTTGCAGTATCCAAAGGTTATGGCATGGTTAATTGAGACTATTTATTAAGACTGTGGTACGAAATGGAGGGATAAGAATAAGTAGTTGTCAGAAGGTACTCAAACATAAATTGTCATTACTTTGAACAAAAGCATCCTAAGTCTCTCTGGGGACTGCTTGTCTGGCTGAAGCATCTCCATGATACGCCGAAGCCTCTTTGGCATAAACATCACTGATGTTGGATGATAGAGGACTTGGACTGAAAACTTCCCCACACATGCTGCACTCCTGGAGCTTTTCTCCAGGGTGCACTCTCTGATGTTGAATGAGCCATCTTTTCTGGAGGAAGGCTTTCCTACGTTCAATGCATTCATAGGGCTTGTCTCCACTATGAATTTTCTGATGCTGATTAAGGGATGAGCCGTCAGAGTAAACCTTCCCACACATTATCTTTGGAATGTGTCTCCCCAGTGTGCACAGTCCTGTGTTGAATGAGGGATGAATGGTCCAAAAGAGCTCTGTCCTACCCCTGCATTCCTAAGACTGCTCTCCAGGGCGGGTTTGCTATGGCCAGCCAGAATACCTTTCCAGCTGAAGGATTCCCCATACTCTGTGCATTCATAAGGACTTTCTCCTGTATGAGTTCACTGATGTCCAGTAAGGGTTAATCAGCTGTACAAAGTATTCACTGCATTCAAAGGGGCTCTTCCTAGTGTGCAACATCAGATGTTTCTTTTTTCAATTTTAATTAATGTTATAGAGACAAGGTCTCGCTATGTTTCCCAGGCTGGTCTCAAACTCCTAGGCTCAAGCAATTCTCCCAAAGTGCTGGGATTACAGGCATGAGCCAGCATGCCAGCTGGCATTAGGTTTTTCTTAAGATTCCTACAGCTGAAGGCTTTTCTGAGTTCTTGACAGTCACGGGGTTTTCCTCCATGGTGAGTCCTCTGATGCTAGGTGACAACTACATGGTTATATGAGGTCTTCCCACACATGCTGCATTCAAAGTTCCTCCCCTTACTGTTGGTTTTCTTGGCAGGAGTAGGTCTTTGCCTGAGTCCTTCTCCTTGGAGGAATATTTCTTCAATGTTCCCCTGAATGGTTTTTCTTCTTTCTGTCCTCAAGCTTTTCCGAGATAAGTGCAGGACCCAGTGGACAATCTTTTCAGAGTTTTTCATTAATGTATTCTGTGATTCTATTTTTTCAGAAACATCCTGCCTTTGAGTGGAGTCCTTGCTCTTAGGTCTAGTCTTCTAGTCTAAAATAAATAGAATAGATATCACAGCTTTGAGTACTAGTAAAAAAGAAAGTATTGTATTGTTAAGAACAAATACAAAATATTGCCTGATTGATTAGTAGCTCCTGAAAAGAAAAACAACAGGGACAGAATAAAAAATAGCAACGGCAAAGAGAAATAGAGATTAGACCAGTAAACATGTTTCAGTTATTCTTGCATTAGCTATTTATCATCTAGTGTGCCTATTATGTTCTGGGCACAGTAAGTCACTAAAACACAAATGCCTAAGACAGCCATAGTTCCTGCCCGCATGATGCTTATATTCCATTACACAGGTGGCAAAGAAACAAACAAAATATAACAGATGCTGACCAGTACAGTGAAGGAAATAATGAGTGGGAGTTGGAGTAAGTGCTTCAGAGAGATACTTAAGAGTGGTCATGTAGAATTGACGTTTAAACTAAGGTCTGAATGAAAGAAAGAAGTTAATCATGTGAACCCAGCTAATTTTTTGTATTTTTTAGTAGAGACAGGGTTTCACCGTGTTGGTCAGGATGGTCATGAACTCCTGACTTTAGGTGATCCACCTGCCTCGGCCTCCCAGAGTGCTGGGATTATAGGCGTTAGCCACCACGCCTGGCTGGTCCTTCTTTTTCTAGGCATATATGTGGAAATATATTGTAAATGTATTCAAGTTCCAAACTTTTTGTAACCTGTTTTTATCATTTAGCAATATATCATCTTTCTAACTCCATAAATATCACTGATAAATGTCACTGATAGGCCTGGGGCTGTGGCTCACGCCTGTAATCCCAGCACTTTAGGAGGCCAAGGTGGGTGGATCATGAGAGCAGGAGGTCAAGACCATCCTGACCAACATGGAGAAATCCCCTCTACTAAATATACAAAAATTAGCCAGGCGTGGTGGCATGCACCTGTAATCCCAGTTACTCAGGAGGCTGAGGCAGGAGAATCGCTTGAACTTGGAAAAGCAGAGGTTGCAGTGAGCTGAGATTGCGCCACTGCACTCTAACCTGGGTGACAGAGCAAGACTCTAT